CAGCCATGTGGGAATTCAGCATCTTTAACCACCACAGTGATGTGCTTCCTGTCAGCACAGATTTTTCTTTTCTAGACATTTCTGACACATAGAATCATATAACATGTGGTATTTTCATTTGCTCCTTTTCACTTAAAATTGAATTTGTAAGGTTCATTTGTGCTGTAGCTGTAACAATTACAAAAGGACTTCAAACATTTTAGGAAAAATGGAATTACAGTATGAGCTTATTTTGGTGCAAAAAAAATTTTTTTTAAAGAATTATTTTAAGGGCCAGCAGGTAGTGTGGTGGTTAAGGGTGCTAGACTCCCAAGTAGACAACTATGGTTCAAGTCCCAGACCTGGCAGCTTGCTTTTTCATTTTCCCTCTCTCTTCTCTCTCTCTCCTCTCTCTCTCCCTTTCTGGTCAAATTAAAATAAATAAATAAATAAAGTTAAATAACTACCCAAGAACCACATCTGGGCCTCCCCTGTGGTTCCCAGATTCCCAAGTCATAGCACTGCCTGCATCGCCACAGGGGAGCCCAGATATAATTCTTTTATTTTTTTAAAACATTTTCTTTTTTTAAATTATTTATTTAACTTTATTCATTCATTCATTCATTCATTTTTAATTTGACCAGAGAGACACAGAGAGAGAGAGACAGAGAGAGAGAGAGAAGGTGAGAAAGCAAGCCACCAAGTCCAGGATTTAAACCATGGTCAGCCATGTGGGAGCATCCATTAACCCCCAAATGTAATTCTTAATCCTGAAGTTAAGGGACAGTAAAAAGGAAGACACTTGTGTACAACTCATAGTTTTCCAGCTCCTTAGATATTTATGGGAAAACAAATCTTTTTTGCTTTGCTAGGTATAAACCTACACATACAATTAGCTTCACAAAACTCAAGTACAAGAAACATGAAGAAAAGATAGCAACATACCCCTCAACTGAATTGCTCAAAAGCAGTGATAAAGAGAATCTTAAAAGCAGCTGGGGTGGCATGGGGCCGGCAGGTGGCGTGGTGGTAAGGGCACTGGACTCCCACTTGGCAGACCGTGGTTTGAGTCCTGGATCTGGCAGCTTGCTTTCTCACTTTCCCTCTCTCACTCTCTCACTGTCCCTCTCTGGTCAAATTAAAATAAATAAATAAATGTTAAATTTAAAAAAACTTATTTTACAGCAGCTGGGGGACAGGGAGGCACATGTGTACAGAGGATCAAAAGGAGGAAGGGCAGTAGATCTGTCCCAGGAAACGACACAACTAAGAAGACAGTGAAGGACCAGCCCTATAGCCTAGAGCTTAAGGGGCCTGGATTCCACATGGCCAACTGCAGAAATCTGGGCCCTGGTGGCTTAAAAAACACACCAGGCACCTTTGTGCACGCCCCAACTCCCAGCAGGATGGAGAGATGGAAGAGAAGGGATTGTGGTGTGACTACACCCTACTTGAGAGGTGCTTTCTCTCTCTCCTTCCCTCTGTCTCTCTGGCAGGCACGGGAACCCTCTCGCAATATTTTTTTTTTTTTTAGAATTATTTATGTTAATTAATTAATTATTTCAAATTTCACCAGAGAGAGAAAGAGAAAGGGAAAGTGATAAAGTAAGCTGCCAGGTCTGGGACTTGAACCACAGTTGGCTATTTGGGAGTCTAGCGCCCTTAACCACCACGCCACCTGCCAGCCCCAGTGCAAAAATCTTTGAAACGCATGCATAGTTTCTTCACAATATGCTTTTTTTTTTTTTAATGTGTTTAGGTTTTTGTAATAAGGCACATACACTTGCCAGAGAGAAATAGAGACAGAGAGAGGGAAGGTAAGAAATCACCCCTTGGGAGATGGCCATCTGCAGTCCCTTCTGCTGCACCCCCCCAAAAAAGAACACAACAATCTCTGATTTTATTTATTTAAAAAAATAATTATCTATTCAATTTTGGGGACCAGCAGGTGGTGTAGTGGTTAGGGTGCTGGACACTCCCACGTGGCTGACCATGGTTCGAGTACCAGACCTGGTGGCTTGCTTTCTCACTTTCCCTCTCTCTTTCCGTGTCTCTCTCTGGTCAACTTACAATAAATGAATGAATGAATAAAATAATTCTTTAAAAAAAAAAGAATTATCAATGTAATTTTATTTATTCATTCTTTTTTTTTTTTTTTTAATTTGACCAGAGAGAGAGAAGCGTGAAAGTAGGAATGTAGGAATGTCCAGTGCCTTAACCATCACGCCACCTGCTGGTCGCAGTCTACTCTGAATAGCAAGCTCAGCTGATACACACATATTTGTGAACACATGTCTGACTTTAGGCATGAAACTCTGACTAGAATGAATATACTGTAAAGTAGTACCTAGCCGATGCTATATAGTTTACTGCAGTCATTAAATAGGTATTTTTAACATATTTTTTAATTTCAAGAAAAGGAGTTTTAGCTTTAATAAATCAAAATTTTAAAAACGCTAAGAGAGCTTTGCTTAAAACTTAAAGCCAGGAAGCAGGTTAGAATTCTGTTCAAATTATAGATGCATGAACCTATCGGCAGCTCAAGACAAGACAAAAATCCTTAAATCTGGACTGAAGACCCTCTGCCCAGACTTTATGCTCCTGCTGCCCGATCTAGCCAGGAGCCAGGATAAGCCATCAGCAGCCACCTACAACTCAGCAGCTCCTTCTGCACAGCGAAACACATATAATCCATCAGCTGACCAGAAACCACCGCACAGGCACAAGAAACATGAGAAAACAAGAAAATATCTCTCCTCTAATGGAAAGAATAATTCCTCTTCCTCCACAAAGAATACAAGGGAACTCATGGAAATGCCAGATAAAGAATTTAAATTATTCATAGTGACAAAGCTGACAGAAACACAAGAGAAGAGAGACAACGATCTCCAGAAAATGCAGGAGACAAGAGACACCGCGTTCCAGGAGGTGAGGAGGTTCTTGCACGATCTGAAAGAGGAGATACACATCATAAAAAAGAATCAAACGGAATTGTTAGAGATGAAGGCTGTAATACAGGAAATCAAAACTTCCACTGAAAGTATCAAAAGCAGATTAGACCATGCAGAAGACTGAATCTCAGATGTAGAAGATAGAACCCCTGACCTAGAAAAATTCACCAAAAAGACTGAGAAAAGATCCCCCTCAAATGAGAATAACATACAAGTTATACTAGATACCATTAAATGCCCAAACGCCCGGATCATCAGTATCCCTGAAGGTGAAGAAACTAATAAGGGCATTGATAATCTATCCCATGAAATCCTGGAAGAAAACTTTCCAAATTTAGAGAGGCACTCGAATATCCAGACCCAAGGAATACAAAGGACCCCACATAGAATCAACCCAAGATCTTCCCCCAGGCATATCATAGCCAGATTGACCAAAATCAGACAGAGACAAGATACCGAAATTGGCAAGAGAAAAACGTCAAGTTACTTTCAAAGGATATCCCATAACACTAACATTGGACCTCTCATTGGAAACAATGCAAGCAAGAAAAGAATGGGAAAATATATTCAAAGTGTTAAGTGAAAAATGATTTTAACCAAGAATACTATACCCAGAAAGATTATCTTTCATATGGGAATAAAAGACATAAACATTCTCAGATAAATAAAGCCTGAAAGAATTTACCAGCACCAGACCAGCTCTCCGAGAAGTGCTCGAGGGAGAGCTACACCAGGAAACCTGAAGTCGGACAGAAATAAGAGTACAGAAACAGCCAAGAGAATGGCCAGCCAAGCGGTAGGGACAAGTCCAGAGTCGAATTTTTTTTTAAGAATTATTTATTGATTATTATTATTGTTAATAGTATTTTTCACACGAGTTTTGTCAGAGAAAGACAGGGAGAGAGAGGGAGAGGGGGAGTGAGAAAGCAAGCCGCCAGGTCCAGGACTCAAACCATGGCCAGCCATGTGGGAATTCTAGCACCTTAATCACCATGCCACCTGCTGGCCCCAAGTCCGGAGTGGAATGTTAATTCCAGAGTTTAAATGGAAAGATCCGACCACAGCAACACTGCAAATTCAATAGAGGAGAGATTAATTACATGAGTCTGAACTAATGAAATTGAATTTTTTTACTTTAGACTAAAACATGATTGATTTTCTTCAATGCTTTGATTTCCATATTTAAGGATTTTTGTCTTGAACTGTCGATAGGTTCATCTAACCTACTATTTGAACTAAATCCTAACCTTTTTCCTGGCTTTAAGTTTTAAGCAAATTTCTCTTAACATTTTTTTTTATTTTGATCTATTAAAACTAAAACGTTTTTGAAATTTAAAAAATGCATTAAAAATACCTATTAACACCTATTTAGTGACTGCAGTAAGCTATATAGCCCCAGCGAGGTGCTACTTTATAGTATGTTCACTTTACTCACTGAGGTTTATGCCTAAAGTCAGACATGCATTCTTAAATATGTATATATCAGCTGTGCTTGCTATTGAAGGCCTTTAAATTAATTAAGATCTTTAGTGAATCAATAAAATGTGGGGAGAAAAAAGGCATGGGAAACAACTGTATATACCAGAGCCAGTGTGTGCGTGTATGGAGCTGGCAGAGGGAGAGGGGTAGGGAATCAAATTGGGGGGGGGGAATATATAAGAAACGAGATAGAAAATTATTTGTTGATGATAACATGTAATATCCTTGACTGAGCCAATATACAATATATACTGGATGGAAAATCTCATTTTGTATATTGTATTGATGTAAATAAATAAATAAATGATTTTAAACGTCCTTAAATCTGGAGAGCAAAACACAGAAGAAAATCAGCAATATTTTAAGTCAAAAGTCATAAGATTCGATTTCACCAGTTCCATCTCAAGTACTTTATCTCCTGTTGTGGTTCGATCTTCCCATTTAAATTCTGGAAGATAACATTCCACTCCAGACTTGTTCCTACCATTGAGCTGGCCATTTTCTTCGTCGTTACTGAACTCTTCTTTCTGTGTGTCTGTATTTAGTTCTCCTGGGATAGCACTCCCTTCAGAACTTCTAGGAGATCTGTTCTCATGTTGGTAAATTCTTTCAGGTTTTGTTTATCTGAGAATGTTCTTGTCTCCTCTTCCCATATGAAAGATACTCTTGCTGGGTTCTCTATCACTGCTTTTAAGCAATTCGGTTGCAGTGTGTTTTGCTATCTTTTCTTCATGTTTCTTGTATTTGGGCTTTGTGAAGCTAATTGTACATATAGGTTTATACCTGACAAAGCAAAAACATTTGTTTTCCCTTAAGGAAAGTTTAAGGAGCTGGAAAACTAGGAGTTGTATACGAACGTCTTCCTCTGTACTATCCCTTCACTTCAGGATGCAGAATTACATTTGGGCCCAGTTGTGATGATGCAGATAGCGCAGGTATTTGGGAGTCTGGGAGCCACACGGGAGGCCCAGGCGTAGTTCCTGGGTCAACCTGAACATTCCAGGCATAGCGTGTATCCCTGTAATCCTAGCTAATTGTGAGGTTGGGACAGGAGGATTACAGCATGGGGAGACCATGTCAAACATACCTATCTCTGCCTTCCTTTCCCTTTCTTTCTCTACCTCTCTCCAAGAAAAGAAAGAAAAGAAAAGAAAAGAAAAGAAAAGAAAAGAAAAGGAAAGAAAAAAAAAGAAAAGGAAAGGAAAGGAAAGAAAAGGAAAGGAAGGGAAAGAAGAGGAGAAGAAAAAGAAAAAAAGGAAGGGAAAGGAAAAGAAAGGAAAGGAAAGGAAAGGAAAGAGAATCACATTTGGACAAGAGAAGATAGACCTGTTATCCTTAAAACTTCAAGGGCAAAAAAAATTATTAAAAAACAAAAAAAATTCAAGGGCATTTAGGGTGACAACAAACACATAGCTTACCTTTTTCAAGGCAGCTTAACGGGAGAGAGGACAAAACAATATCTTTGAATTTTAATAAGTTTCTGCAAAGGAAGAGAAAATTTGAAATTCAAGTGCTCCTGGGATCTAAAAAAAAAAAAAACCTCTCTGGGGGTTTCCCTGCAGACATTTGGGCTGCTGGAGCTGCCGAGAGGTGTCTTTCACAAATTCACCAGCAGGTGGCAACCTTATACCACAAATGACCAACGAGCGTATCCACGGGTCATTATGCCAAGCACCTTCTCCAAACAAGGCTGTGTCTGCTTGGAAGTAGAGAAAGCTACAAATCCTGCCCTGCAAGGCGAGTCAAGTAGACTCCACGTTTATTGTGTTGGGTTGAAATAGTTGTCCAAGGGGCTGGCCAGTAGCCTGGTAGTTGAGATGGATCCCACACAGCCCTTCACGTGTTTCAAGTCTCAGCCCCGGGAGCTGAAAAACACACCTGGTGAGTATGTGCCCGAACTCTGATAGGATGGGGAAGAGAGGAGAGAGGGTTGTGGCGCAATCACACTCCACTGGGAGTGCTTTCTCTCTGCCTCTCTGTTTCTTTCTGGCAAATGCAGTCGCCCTCTGGCAAAAAAAGAAAAGAAATCGTCTTCCCAAAGTCATCCAGTCCTTTCTTCGGTCTCAGAGTGTAATTTCATACCGTTGATGCCGATGGAACAGAAGTGTCAAAGGTCTTACCTCCACTCTGGTTATTTCCAGTCTGCTTCACGGCTTCGGCTTCAAGCAGACCGCACCGGTGTCGGGTGATCCTGGAAGGGCTGGAGCGGCAAAGGAGGGGAGGCCTGCACCAGAAGGACAGAGAGGGTTAAGGCAAAGGGGACAAAGCAGGCCAGGAGGGAAGGAGCGCTGGTCTGGAGCCTGGTCTGTCAGGAAAGCCTCTTCTCCAGGGCCATTAGCCACCCCCCCACACACCAACAGAAACACACACACACACTTCTTAGAGCCTGCTGGCTACAGCAGTGCTCTCTGGGTGCTCCTGCCCCACCCCTGCCCTCACCTCTGAAAGAGGAGCCTCGCCCCTTTGCCACCACCTCCCGTTTCCCCCCTCCCCACAGTCTGACTTGAGAGCCCTCCCCAGCGGTGCTTGTCTGGGACAGAGCCACCAGCAGAGAGCTACAGAAAGGGGAGGGAAGCTTCCCTGCACTGCCCGGCAGGCTGGGGAGGAAGAGGAAGTGGTCACTCGAAAAGCTATTTAGGCGGGTTTCACAATATCCCCAGGACCCAGCCCCAGCCACCCTGTGAAGTGCTGAGTCACCTTTCAAGCTCCCCTGGACCCTGCTTTGTGCTTCGAGGTACAAACTTCAGCTTAAAATGCAGAGCAGGGTTCTTGGTCAGGAGCCCCCATCCACCTGGGGTCTTTCCAGGCAGGTGTCCCTTCTTGCCTCGGAGCATTTTATCTGTGATACGTGTAATTGCCCTTCCTGGCTGTTTTTGGCTCACAAGCTTGCGTCTTCCGCAAACCCTGCTGGACTGTAGGAAAGCTCCTGGGGAAACGGGAGTCCAGGGATGAGAAGAGAGTGCAGGCCAGGAATGCAGGGCTGGCCCACATCCCCTCCCACTGGCCTCAGCACAGCAGAGCAGCGCTCAGGGACATCTGGGTAGGTAGGTGGGCCTCTTCGCTCTCCCAGGAAGAAGGGCTAGCTGGAAGCCATTCGATAAGCCTGACCATTTCCCGAGACCCTCCATTTCTCTCCACGCTAGTTTAATTTACTTATCTATTTATCTGTGGGTGGATGGATGGATAGCCGGCTACCAGAGACTCACCAGTGGGAGACAGGGAGAAAGCACTCCCGGTGGAGTGTGGTCAGGGGCAACCCCTTGCCCTCCCTCGCTCCATCCTGCTGGGATCTGCAGCACACCTGCACACCCTTGCACCCAGCATGCTTTTCAAGCCGCTGGGGCCAGGATTCAAATCACCATTGACCGTGTGGGATCCAGCTCCCTTAACCACGAGGGACTGGCCCCCCTCAACAGTAGTTTTACACATCATCTTTTTATTAAGACAAATAGTTACATGTGAAGGAGGACGCAGAATTCACGCTTTTATAATAAAACCTAAGACTTCAAGGACCTAGGACTGGGCTGCGGTTGCCGCCGTCTGAGCTTCATCCCTCTTTGCTGTCGGGGGTACCTGGGGAAACTTCTGAGCTAGCCAAGGTAGCCCCACTTCTCAGCTCACACAGGTGAGCTTGGATCTGGATCGTGGGCACAGTGAGCTGGTTAGTTACTACGCTCAGCCTTAGTTTCCTCACATGCAGACACGGGTGTTGTGGTTCGGGTAATGGCTCATCCTCCAAAGTTTCATGTCTGGGAATTTGGCATTGAGAGTTGGTGGAGCGTAGTGGGCAGCATGGGTCGCGGCGATGCAGCATGGAGACGCCATGCTCAAGAACAATGGCGTGGTGTGCGACTCAGGCAGTTCTAGTCCACACGAGAAGGGGTTAGCTCTGGAGACCAGTAGGCGGCCTGGTGGTTAAGTGCTGGACTCCACACGGCTGACTACAGTCCAAGTCCTGGACCTGGTGGCTTGAAAATCACACCAGGCCTGTGTGTGTGCATGCCCAAAACCCCAGGAGCAGGAGGAGAATGAAAGAGAAGGGATTGCAGTGTGGCCGTCCCCCGGGGGGTGGTTTCTCACTTTCCTTCTCTGTCATCATGAGTGCAGTGCTCTATGGCCAAAACCTGGGGGAGAAGAAACGGGGGCGGGCGGGGTTAGTCCTTGTGAGAGGTGAGTGTTATAATTTATGAGAGCTTCCTCGCCGGGCGCATGTGTGTGCGTGCCCAAGATCCCGAGAGGAGAATGGAGAAGGGATTGTGGTGTGGACATCTGCCCTGGGGGGTAATTTCTTGCTTTCTGTCTCTCTGTCTGTCTCTGTCTTTCTGGCGAGCACACGTGCCCTATAGCAAAAGCCTCTCAAAAAAAAGAAGAGGGAGAGAGAGAGCTTCCCACAGCGGTCTCTTTCTGTCTCTCTGTCCCCACCATCCACCATCCTCTGTGCTCCCAGCAGCCATGCGGTAGGCTGGCCCCATCCCAGGTCTATCCTTTGGACTTTCTAACCACCGGAATTGTGAGTCAGTAAGTCTGTTTCTTTAGCATCACTCAGTCCCAGACATTTCTGTCAGCAATGCAGTAACAGACTGAGACAAGGGAGGAAAATGACGCTCGGTGTCCTGTTACGGTGAAGATTTAAGGTGGTGAAGTACATGACATGTCGTAAATACTCACTGATAATGATTATTGATAGTTTTTGTTTTTTAGATTTTTGCCAAAGGGCATGTGTACTTGCCAGAGAAATACAGAGAGAAAGAGAGAGGGAAGTGAGAAATCACCCCCAGAGGGATGGCCACTCTTCAGTTCCTCCTCCCCCACTCTCCCCTTGGGGTTTTGGACACACACACACACACACACACACACACACACACACATCTGCCTGGTGCATCTTTCAAGCTGCTGGGCCCAGGACTCAAATCGTGCAGTGGACCATGTGGGATCCAGCCACCTCACCACCACACCAGCTACTGGCTCCTAAAATGCTTATTTTTGTTTTTGCAATAGGGTGCATGTGCTCATTGGAGAGACAAGAGAAGAGAGAAAGTGAGAAATCCCCCCCCAGGGGATGGCCACACCCACTTCCTTCCCTCTGTTCTCCGCTCAGGATTTTGGGCATGCATGCACATGCACCCAGCATGACTTTTAAGCCAGTGGGTCTGGGACTTGAACTGCACTTGGCCATGTGGGAATCCAGTTCCTTAACCTCCATGCCATCTGATGGTCCCTTAAAATACTTCTAAAAAATATTTATCTATATCTTCCGAGAAAGAGAGAGAGAACCACAAAGGGGTTTGCAATGCTGTGACCCACCCCTGCTTCGTCCAGCCCCACATCACAGGCATGCTGGCACATGTGGGGAGGCCTCTGGTTGAGAACGGGGAGACTGTTCACGTGGGACTGCCTTACAGAGACTCGCTCCTACTTCTGAGCCACCATCTACCCCGCAAAACACTTTCCAAACAGATGGTGCCATTTCTCTGTTTAAGCTCCTTCAGTGTTCCCACTGTCCTCAAGAGAGCCCGCTCCTCAGGGGTTTCCAAAGGCTTCCAGGTCCTTGGTCCCTTCTACCCACCTGCGCCATCCCTCACGGACTGTCTTTCACCCTGGCTATGAGCTCTGCTGCTGACCCTGCAGCTCCCTGGCTGCCCGTGCTGCCCGAGATCGTGCCCCTTCTCCTCGCTTCCTGGCCGGCTCCGTCGTCTCTCCTGGCCCCATACCCTTGCTATGGTTTGGGGAACGGTTTGCCCCCCAAAGACTGTGTTTTGGTGCTTGCCCTTAGTGGGCAGTGATTGGATGTACCCCAGAAGATCACGTGATGGGACTTGGCTGTTTCATAAAGGTGTTAAGTGTCCCATACGAAGTCATTAAGGCAGGGTCTCTATGACTGGCTTCTGGTGTGTACACAGGGGAGGAAAGGAGGCGGGCAGAGACCACGTGGACACGGACCTCAACTAGAAGAAACTTGTGGACAGTGGTCTGCTCACTGTTCACAGTCCTGCTCTCTGCCATGTTGCAGTCTCACCAGAAGCGGGACCCTGGCCCCTGGCCCTCTAAGCCATGAGCTAAATAAAGCTCTATGATAAATTCACCCTGTTTCAGACGTTTAACAACACGCTAGTGACTATGACAGCTCTCTTTTAAGGAAGATGGATTATGCATCCCTCCTTTGTCCACTCCTGTCCTCTGCACCCCTTTCCTCATGCTCCATAAGACTTGGGGGCCCTGATATTAGTTCACCTAATAGACGCCAAAGTCTTTGAGGTCAAGATCCAAGCTATATTCTTTTCTGTATTCCTAGCACGTAGAGTACGAGATCAGCACAGAGTAGGACCCAGTGAATATCTGCTGGATAGATAGACAGATGGACGGGTGGACAGGGAGACTCTCTGGCCCAGCCTGGGCCACTAAGCTCTCTGGGATGAGGGGCAGAGCCAGGTCCGTCACATCCCCTCAGCCTCACACTCAAGTCCCCCTCACTTGGGATCAATGGAAGAAAGACAGACTTTGGAGCAGAAAGGGAGAGGGATGTGATGAGGGTGTTGATGAGGGAGGGAAGAGATGAGACCATGCCAGAGAAGGCTACAGAGGACACTGCAGGCCAGGGGCAGGGGCCCTAGGACCTGTCTGGGAGAGGCCCTATTTCATCCCCAGGAGCCAGCAAGTGCCACCCCAGGGGTGTAGGAGAGCAGAGTGCACGAGAGCTGGGTCACGGTGACAGTGAAAGGCTTACACATTTCTGAGGGGCCAGAGAGAAAAGCAAACCCCTGTGTGTGGCAGGCTTCCTGCAGCCCCCAGCGGGACCCTCTCGGTGGAGACATTATCTCTGCACATCTGAATGCCGCTGGCCAGGCGGGGCCAGGCCAAGCGCTCGTAGCTGAGTCCAGCCAGAATGAGTATCTCTGCCCCGCGGAGATGCAGGCCTGCCTGGACATTTCACGTGCTGAAAGCATTCGTGGCCTTTGAGTGATTTCAACATCGGGCTCAAGCCCATGTGCATGGCGGGTAACCCCAGCAGCACCTTCGACTTGACGCAATCCCAGTCCTCCCTCAACAACTCAGTCTTCTTTGTCTGCAAAACGGGCTGGCCAAGGCCAAGCCCAATGGCCGGCGGAGCAGGGAGAGCAAGATACGCGAAGGGTGTAAGGCCTGGAGAACAGCCCGGGCAGGGCCCGCTCGACTTCCTTCATCCCAGATCTGCCCAGGCGGCTTCTTAGACATGTGCCCTGGCACAGCCTCCGAGTGACCACAGCGCCTGGACTTCCGTGACAGCCCTGCCGCCTTAGTGTGGTCACGGTCCTGTCGCTGTACTGGTCCCTGTCAGAAGCACCCGGGTTGGACGGCACATGCTAACCCCGCTCGTTTATGAGGTGCTTCACGAGCCTCTGGGCGAAATCCAGTGTGGCGGCAGTCCCTGCTCTTCTCCTGGGCCTTCCCTAAGGGCGTCCTCACAGGAAATTCATCTGCGGTCTGAGACTCCAGAGAAGATAAACCCAGACCAAAGAAGGAAACGTAGGCGTCTGCCGTTTTGTAAAAGCCTGGGG